GTCGCGGGCGTGGTCTGGTTGAGGTTGAGCGAGCGCTGCGAGTTCGCGATCGGCTTGAGGCCGGCCTGCTTGTCGACGTTGTAGCAGACGACGCCGTTGACGAAGCCACCGTTGAGCGCGCAGAGGCGGGTGCCGTCTGCGTTGAACGCGAGCGACATCGGGAACTCGCCCTCAGACGAGACCGGGTTACCGATCTGCTTGATGGCCGTGGGTATCTTGGGGTTGATCGAGAACAGGGAGATGGTGTTCGATCCAGGCTGGAGCAGTATATCAGCACTCGGCGCACATGGGAGAAGAACCAGCTAGCATACATTCACCGTAGCGAGGACCTGGCCCTTGGCGGAAGCCTTGATGGCACCCTGGGCGAAGAGAGCATCGGGGCCAATGGGGTCCGTCTGACCGTGCGCCCCGCTTCCACCGGTGGACACTGCCCTGTCGAGGTTCTGCGGGGGCAAGGTTAGCCACAGTCTGATGTCTCGACGAAAGATACGCACCAGGGTACCGTCCGCGTTGATGCTTGCGGCGATGATCATGTTCTCCTTCCCCTCGTTCGTGATGACTGCCAGAATGTCAGATGGTTGAAGGAGATCAAGAAGGCAGCTCCTTACAGTAGGCCGCGCCAGCAGCGTTGGTCTTCGTCTTGGAGGTCATCATCTTTGTGTTCGAGGCCCTACGTTGCATAGGCACAGCGGACACCAGCGACGAAGCCGCGAGAACTGAGGTAAGGATAGCCGCGGAGAAACGCATTTCGAACGACGGGTTGTAGAGTCTAGAGGGAAGTCTTTGGGTAGTCGGATGGAAAGATCGTATGGGCGAGCACAGCTGCCTTGAGGAAATACGAAACCGAGACGAACGGAAAGAACGAGACAGGTAGGAAGAGGGAGGGAGGGGAAGTGAAGTTAGGCGGAGCCGGTCGAATCGTTTTATACCGACTCGGGGTCCCAAACCATTCAGGCCTAGGAACATCAGATCAGGGCGTGGGTCCGGAGGCATAGCCGGAAACCGACATCTCATCATCACCCGAACCTGAATGCAGCGGCATTGTTGCGCCCATAACTCCGGTACCGCTGCTTCGTTTGTCCCACGTGGCCCTTGGATACACGTTGCCGATGACCATGGCAAGGCGGCCAAGAGACGCGCTGACGACGAAGTCCGCTTGACGCCCGCAAAGTCGTCTCATCCGGAGCAATCCCGCTGGCGATGCGTGCTACATACGTCCAGGATCTCGGAGCGGCTGTCCGTCTAGCCTCGAGCTCGCTCGAAGCCGGGCTGAAAGCCTCACCAGGAGATTGGCCGGCTGATGCACTCTCGATGTTTCGGTCGATGCAGTGTCAACAATTGAACCGCGGAGATGATGTCGCCTGAGAAGTCTTGTTATATTGGCCCACAGTTTGGGATTGAGATATGCGCGCGGTGAGGGAATTGATATTTCTGCGCTGTCCTACTGGTTTCTTTGCTGGACACTGCGGGCCCCATCTTACAGCACACGAACTAGTGGCAGGCTCGGTCCTTACATACCCAGGCTGGCTGCATCACAATTTTCCTGGGACGTGACATGTCAGAGAGCGGACATTGGATAAACCGTCACGACGAGAAGACATCGCACCTCAGTTCAACATGACCAGCCTCACGAAGGCGAAGTTCGAGGTGGAGACCGCTGACCATGACGGCTACGAATACGCCGAGGGTTTCTACCTCGAGACCTTGTATTCTCGAAGCGCCGTCTTCCGCGGAAGCCTGTCTTGACGACCGAGAGGGACGAGCTTGGGAATCATTGCAAATGGTCGTCAACGCCGAGCAGAGCTGGAGATCAAAGCGATGCGGCCATCCCCCCAGGCGCCCGCGGTGGGTAACGACCACCTGCCATAAACGGTATTGATGCCGCCCCTTTGCACTCCGCCCCCGCGAATCGAGAGACGCCTCCGCTTCGTCGCTGCTCATGCCCATGCATCCGTTGCTATGTTCCTTAGACATGTGGCTCATCTGGTTGTGGATCTGAGTCCTCGTATGAACCATTTTCTTGTGCCGGCTCACACTTAGGCGCTGACTAACATTGCCCCCGGTTGGTTAACCCTCGGCTACGGCGTGCCTCAACCCCTTGCCGCCGTTGCTCGTCCACCGTTGTCGAGAGGTTGCATGACGGATTTGGAAGGCATTGTCTTCGTCGGATTCCCACTGCTACTGTTGCTGAACGAGTTGGTCAGCTCCTCTCCCCCACTCAATCACTTACAACTCGTGCATTCGACCACGACTCCGGAGTCCGGTCGCCTCAGCGTAACCAGGGCCTGAGTTCTTGTCGATCCATCCCTTAGCGTATTCCACCGTGACAATGAACCCCGTGGGCAATGTCGGCGGAAACATGAACCACAGCGTTTTTTCATCAGTGTCCGCCTGCACCACTCGCGGGCTCTCTGATCATGTCGTTGCACGGCCCACGATCCGATGGAACACTACTAGATTTGGTCCGATGTCGACATGTTTTTGTGATCAAAGACAGGCTTCGTCTCTTTCCCCAAGCGGGGCTTTTCACCCCGGACAGCCCCGTGCCTATGCTGCTAACTAATAGACGCAGCCCACAATGCTTCCCGGCACATGTCTAGTACCGCATTTGAGCTTGCCACCTGTAAGCGATTCCACACTCCTTACAAACCACTCGTCTCTCGCTCTCATGCCACCCTACTCCCATCTGTGATGCTGGACACCCTTGTCTATCCTTCACCGTTTTGAGCGTAAGTCACCCGACGACGATGCGAATCGCACCCATCCCTCGAAGCCTCGGCTGCCTTCTGGACAGCCTACGATACACACCGACTAGACGGCTGTCTCAGCACGATGGCCAGCATGCTCTTATCTGCCATAATACCTCGTCATAGTTGAAGGTGCGGTGACGTGCATCACGGCCGACGCCAACAACCCATTCACCCATCTACATACATCACGAAAATGCCCCCATCCTGTCTCCTCCCAAAAGGCGTGGAACTCTACGGTCGGTGTGACACCGCACCGTCAAAATCTCCCATTCATATCCACCTCAGGCAGCGGAAGCCGTCACCTTCGCCCTCGCCTTGAACGCTTCCTTCACCATCAACCACTCGATGATCGTGACCCCGCTCCCGCGAAGAAAGTCGCCCACTTCGTCCCAAGCATCCGGCATCGTACATATCAAGTCCAGGTCGGCCGTCGTGACGATCCCAAGCGCGTGCAGCTGGGGGGCAGCGTTTCCCAGCGGACGACGGAGGCCGTCCAAGAAGATACGAGCGGCAGAAAGCGAGCAAGACCCGGATTGGGACGCCGCTTCGGGTATTAGGGTATGGTCATTTTCCGTCTTGAATCGCATGTGGGGGACCCCGGGCGGATAGTCGTCAGGCCAAGTTCGGGCCGAGGAGGTTGACGAGCGGGTGGAGACACTCTGAGTCAAAGGCGGAGGAACCGAGAGAAGAGACGGCGAGACAGAAGCCCTGACGCTAGGGCTTGCGCTTACTGGGGACCAGATCGCCGGACGAAGTACGGAGACACGTTCCGGAGAGGGCGACGAGCTGTTCGGAGCAGCAGGCGAGAGAGGCTCAGGCGTGATAGCTAGGTTGTCGCCGCCAGAATCATTTGAATTGACGTAAACATTTGAACGGACCGAAGGGCTCTTCACAAGAGGAGCGGTCTCTGCTGGAGATGCGAAGCCATGTTCATAACAACAATTCTAGCAAGTCATACCACGCACCTGCATGTTCATGTTCTTGTGTCTCCTCTACGGAGTACTCCACGCCCTCCTCCTTTACGGCCTGCATGCCAGTACTCACTTCCTGGGCTTGCTGCCCGCGCGCTGCCGCCCTGGTTTTGACGGCCGAGGAGGCCTGGGGGGATCGATACTTCACATACCCCTCGCAACGCGTAACAATATGGTTCTATGCCAGCGCGCGGACGTCAGCTTAGACATCGTCCCACATAAATCGCGCGCATATACTCAACTCGTATGGGAGTCGCCATCGCCCAGCTCTTATCGCACTCAGGACAATGGAATAGGTGGGTCTTCGAATTCCGCTTCAGCAGGAAACTGGCCTCGGGGTGGCTCTTGAAGGAGATCTTGGTGTACTGCTGGTGAACCGTCCGTCTGTGGTAGGTTCCGGACTTGTGTAGCTCTCCGCAGCAATAGAGCGGTTCCTTCAGTTCTTTGGGCCTGCCAATCGCTCATCGTTAGCCATCCGTCAGCGGTGCACAAGGCTAGTCCGTGCCGCACATGTTGATTGTACGATAGCAGGAATGCTAGGAGGTTGATGTTAGGTGGATAGAAAGCCTGCACAACATAGGTTGTGTTGAGTTTGATATACGAAGTACATCGCTTCGAACGTGACGGCGATCCATCGCTACTCGGCTCATGCGTAATCGGACTACTACTTTGTAACGCGTCATGTCCGATGCTAAGAGATGCCGATGCGCTTTACGCTTCCTGAAACGCGTACATGTACTGCATGTGCCCTATATGCGTTTGGGTCGATCTGGCATTTGCGCTGATCTCGGGCTTGTGATCAATACGGTGTGACACCTAGGACACCGAACGGAGGGATGAAGGCGATGGTATTAGTAGAGCAGCTGCTGAAGAGACTTAGTGTACACAAGACGTCGTGATACAAATGACCGATCCACGAAACTCCCAGCAGGGGCGCATACTAACATATGCACAACAATGATTAGTTTGCAAACAAGCACGACGTAAGTGATGCACGCACCGATATTATAATGAAAACGACATGCGATAATACGTCATGCAGCATGGTTTCTAGCAGCGGACCGTCCGCCCGCGGACCTCTTCTTCCCGCCCCTCCCGGACTTCTTCTGGTTTTGACGCCTCTCGAGGCACTTGCTGCAGTACCACGTGCCCGCAGGCAAGACAGTGAGTCCAACGCACGCGATGTGGAACTGGACACATACATCCTCATCAGATCATGACACGGAAGAGACAAAAACGAGAACGCCGGCACTCACCCACTCCCTCTCGCAATCCTCGTCATCACACGCGATCATCTCGCCGTAGCTCACCGACTCACAGAAGCAATATGTCTTGTTATCCTCTGCGTCCCCGTCAGGCTCGCCGCCCGCGCTCATGGTTCCGTCGTTCCCATCCGCCGCCGGCACCTGCGGGAAGGTGTTGCGCACGACGGGCATCCCCGGGCCCTCGAGTTGGCCGTGCGGCCACTCTGAGACTATCCCATTACTCATCGCGCGTGTAGAAGGTGGATCCGGTATGATACCCGTCTGGTTCGACAGATACGGCTGAGGCAAGGATGGGTGGCTTGTGGACGGAGGCTGAGCGCTGTAGGCATCGCGGCGGGCCGCGGCCTCCTGCGCGCGTTTGTTGGAGGCAGAATTGCTGGCTGCGCGGTTGGAAGCAACAGTATTGGGTTGGGCAACGAAGTGCTGGGGAAGGTGCGATGCGAGGGAAGCGACAGATTCGGTGGGGGACGCGGCCCTGTCGGCGGCAGGGACCCTAGAGTACGGGTGTCAGATAGGCGCACAAAGAACGGTATCGTAGAGAATGCGCAAGGTGGCCGCGGTATCCCCCAAGGCAACGACAGAAACGCATTCGAAGCGTGAGCCTCGAAGGGTGCGGCATGGCGATGCCCCCGCCACAGGCGCGTCTCGCGCGACTCTGGACAGACGCCCGACAACGAGTACCCCGAAGGTGCCAGGACCATCAGGGACAGCGGCGACGAGATAGGGTCGCTCCAGACACAACGATGCGCGATGCATGATATATGATGTGCAAGTAGAAGACAACGACGGACTTTTTGTTCCTCGCTCCGTTCCTCTGCCTCGGGGCCGGACCACCCTCGAGACGCTCCTTCTTGCTCGGCGTCCTGGTGACATCGACGTCGTCGTCCCTCGGCGCCCGCCTCTTCTTCTTCTCCGGACTGGGGTCTGTGCCATTCAGCAGCAAGCCGCCGTAGGCTGTGTTCGCGCCAGCCTGCCGTCGGTTCCGACGCCCGCCCTCGCCGGTCATGCCGGGCGGGTAGTACTGCTTGGACGTTACGTGCGGGTACACCGTTTTCCTCCCGAGCTGCTCAGCGATCTTCAAGAACTCCCTGTCGGGCATGCGGTCCAGAAGAGCTCGCATGTGTGTGCGATGGGAACGGAGCCCGTCGGCGGCGTGGCATGCGACGCGAATCTTGTCCTCGCCGCCGAGCTTGAGGCGGGTGGCCTCCTCTGAGATCTCGGTGAGGAGGTAGAGGCGGTCGTCGTTCGTGCCGGTCTTGGTCTCGATCATGCCTATGAGCTCGTTGATCTTCGCGGTGAGGAGGGTCATGGAGGAGGAGAGCACGGCGTCGAGCTCGCGCAGGTCGCCGTAGGAGCGGGAGAGGTCGATGGGGAGGCTGTCGAGGGTGTGGGCGTACTCAGAGAGGCAGGCGAGGCTGAGAGCGGTGTCGACGGCGGAGCTGGGGCCCGCTGGGTAGTTCATGGTGTGTTGTTGTCGACGAGACATGGCGCCCGAGAGCAGGGGTACGTTGTGAGAGGCAGGCCGAGGGGAAGCTCTGGTCGCCGCTGGGGGCCCGGCCCTCCGCCACCCACGACAAACGCGAAAAGCAGGGGCGCTCATGCATCGGACCGCCGGCCCGGCAATCCTCACGCGAGGTGCGCTCAAGATTGACTCGGACGCGTCTGTCGACGACCATAACGATCTCCTCGATGCTCTCGCTGTCGTGCTGAGATGCAAGGCCATCGCATGCACGACTATTACTCTCTCCTCTCTGTCACGCCTTCTGCGACATCCGCGGAGATCAAGGCTGCGTACCATCGCCGCCTTCTCGCTTCGCATCCAGACAAACGCGCCTCTAGAACCCCGGAAGATGGCATAGACATCGGCCTGCTCAAGGAAGCATTCCGTACCCTCAGCACACCCGAGCTTCGGACTGAGTACGATAGGCTGCGAAGAGTCAACGGGAAGCAGCTTGGTCCTCGTCCCGCGCAAGTCGTCTCGCTCGAAGACTTTGACGAGGAGCCGGACTCGAGGTGGACGTACTCCTGTCGCTGTGGGGGCACCTATATCGTCACAGAGGAAACGTTGGAGGCGGGACAGCATCTTGTAGCGTGTGCGAGCTGCTCGGAGGTCGTGTGGGTGGGCTATGAATTGGCGGAGATGGAGGAGGAAGGTGGACAGTAGCCTCCGTGCGCTGCGGCGTGAGCCTAGAGAGGGTGGAGAAAAACTGCAGCATTGCGGCCTTCCCTCTAGATCACCGTCTTCTAGGCATGTGTTTTGCAAACAATTCAAGCGATCCTGTGGTGTCTAATGCACTGTTGTAGCGATCTCACCTGCCTGCTCAACCACACTAGCAACGGTGTCCTCGCGGCGAGTGACCACCGAGCCATTCGTCCGGCTCTGCTCAGAACCCCTCCGTCCCGCCCTCGATACAGCGCCGCTGTCAGTCGGAACCTGCTTCACACAGATCATGGCGATTCTTCGTTCCCGTCGCCTAGAGAGCTTGAAGCTGTAGCTAATGGGTACCTCCCATCTGCTCATTCAACCAGCCACATTTCGAGAATATGTGCCTACGGAATCCCTTCCCTTCGCACTCGTGCATCTCGCTCGCGCAATGAAACAAGCGCAATTGGCGTACGTGCTGAGGTTCGTGTACAGTGCACTCAGTCATGACGCGCAATAGTTGCATGTACTTCCAGAATTTCCTGCCTTACAGTTCTGTCCCGATTCAGGCCTATCGGAACGCCGAGCGGTGGTTCTGATCCGGCGCAGATGGCGATCGTTCCGGCCCTTTGTTGCCGGATAAGACAGAGGAGGAGCATGTCGCAATCCTCTACTTCACTTACCGCCGTGGATCTGCTCGACGGAGACATGTGGGAGACACCATGTACTTCTCATGACGTCGAGACCACGCCGACGTCGTTCATCGAGGAGCACAACTACTTACGCCAGCTCTCGCATTGAAATCTTCGTCATAGACTTGCTCCTGCGACCTCTCGAAGGCAGCTTGAGAATATTGACGGGTAAAAGCAATCAACGTGCGATGCCAGTTCTGGGATTGGAAGAATGGATTGAGGCGAAGACAAACGAATTTCCTTCCAAGTAGGTACAGGGACTTTTCATCCCACGTAGTGTCGACAGCTTTTAGTATTCACTAGTCGTCAAGTTGCAGAGCATAGAATGACGCAGGTACAGGTGTATCCGGCCCGGGTGGGCATGAGCTCTCGCCGACAGACACCTAAAGCACCACTGCTTCGATGACGCAGAGCACCGTATGTACCTCGATATGCCTTGGTGGCGCGTAGAGTTGCATGTCAATGTGTATATGTTACATGACGCGTCCAAGGACTTCAGTGGCAGGACATGCTGTACTTGGCCGAAGCAACTACACACAGTTCATTCGATGTACAGCTCCTACGATGCGATACGAGTACAACGGAGGTAATGGCCGGACAACAACAGCGTCCCGTGCTCGGAGTATTGGTCTTATCTCAGTCGAGCAATGAGAATGCATTACATGCAAAGCTATATGATAGCACAAGACAACGGTACTCGTAAGACTCTCCTACTCGGATGCTAATGTAGTTCGAATGCATGCCAAGCGGGAACTATCCTAGCCTCGACGTCGACGTCGACCCAACGCGCCCGCACCTTGTTCGGATTACCGTCGTGGTGATCGTCGCCGTCGTCGAATCCGAACGCACGCTCGAAACCAAATCCAAGCGCAGACACGCGGCACACGTTAGATCTGGACCGCCACTCGTCAGAACGCCAGCACCACTATACCGTGATCCGGGAGACAGAGTACTCACCCTTCCGCGCACACAACCGCACCAGGGACAACTTCGCCAGGGTACGCCCACAGCCCGCTCACCATTGCCAGATCCACGACCATCCCCCTCGTCAGCCTCACCCTTTCCTCCTCCGGCTCCAGCTCGAACCCCCCCTGCACGTACTCCCTTGTCGGCGCCAGCGCCCTAAGCTCCGCGTTCGTGCTGGTGTTCAGCGAGAAGATCGCCGTCGCAGCCGAGAAATTCCCGGTGAACTCGCGCACTGCGCTCGGAGAGTCCGACGCGAGCCAAGTGACGGGTGGCGCGGGGTACTTGTCCTCCTGGGCCGAGGAGAGGTCCGTCTCGTGCGCGTCCCCGATGTCTGCGGGGCTGACGCCAGCAGAGGTAGTGGCAAACGACGAGGCGTTGCCGTAGAACCTGTCCCACACCTGGCGGGTGGCGGTCACGTACTTCTCCAGGGGGATCGTCTGGCCGGGATAGAAAAAGAAGGCAGCGGGCCGGCGGTCCCCTCTACGGATGTGCACACCGACATAGGGTGCCGGGTTGTTGTGGGGTGGGTGCGAGGTGTCGTCAGAGCGGGGCGCGGGGTCTCGGCCGCGCATTGCTGCTGTCTGGTTGGCCGGCTCGTTGGTGGAGCCGAGGTTGGGGGATGTGGGTGGCGAGGAGAGCGTTGATAGGAGCTCAGTGCGTGCTGCCCGGATGAGCTCCGCTGTGTGCGCGTTCGGGCGGATGGCTTCCTCGAACGAGATGCGCGCGCGCTCGAAGATAGGCTTCAGGCGGTTCAAGTGGTGGCTATACCTATCCGTACAAGCCCGCAGTTAGCATCGCAGACAAGCATATGAGGATTGACAACATACGGATCCTCATATCCTTCAAAGAATTCGTGTCCAAAGTGATACATGGCAGTGCGCGAGCTGATCACCTGTTAAGAAAGCGGTTCAAGGTATGGCAGTTGCGTGACAATCTGCATATGCCTACCCAGTGTCTAAAGCCCAAATCAGTTACGCGCATTCGAAATGTACTGGTTCGCGCACCTTGCGGTCCGGGGACAAGCGACCAGTTCTACACCGGTGACAGCGCGTGAGTCTCGCAACGGCCTTCATACGACCTGACATTTACCTTCAGGAGGTGGAGCACGACAGAAGGGCTCTGGACCAGGGTCAAGGCCGCGAACAGGCTGGAAGTAATCCGTCCACCTGTATGCGCGTAGGTAGATTTCGTCATTAGGACATGCGGCAGACCCGCCGGCGCACTCACTTTCCGCGATTCCAGTGTGTGTCGTCTATGAGGAACGTCCTGTTTCGCTGCAATCACGATCGGCTTCCATGTCACTTTGGAATATGGAAAAGTGTGGGACGTACTTCCCGTGCCATCGCCGCAGCTTGCGCCATGAGAGCGAGGTCGGCGACAAGCCCGACGTGTCCGTCGAGCAGGTATGTGATGGTCTTAGAGCAGACCTTGGTGAACCCGCCTTCGGGCAGGTGATAGTTAGTGTTGTCGTCGTGGTGCTCAACGTCCATCTCCCCGTGCAGGGATTGCCAGTACTCGCCATGGGACATGAATCCTCCCATGAGTTTATTGCATTCGGCACGATATTGGTTGCCCGTGAGAGGGAATTGGGTATAGTTTTCGTAGAAGATTAGCTGGACATGTGGCTCCGAATGACTAGGAGTAGAAGCCGTAGGCACAGGTGCAGTCCCTGAAGCTGAGGAGAAAGGGGAGGGCTCCTTGAAGGTAGATGCAACTAAGTCTCGATCTATCGTCTCCATGAACTCTCCGGGTGGAGCTAGGAACGTCGAATCGAGCTTCCCAGGGCTTGTTAGAGCTACCACAATGAATGCGAGGAGCATGAAGGCCAGGAAGACCCCTCCGACCAAAGGCAGCTTGGAGAGCGCGAGCTGGATCCAATAGTGGACTGACCGTGTCTCCGTACCCTTCGCAGCAGCATCGCCATCCCCACGACTCCGGTAATCTGGCGAGAGCAGTGGCTGGGACTGCTGTTGCTGCTGTTCCTTCCAACCATTGCTCTCGTCATCTTGGTATGCTTGTAGCTCGAAGTCGGTGAAGCCTTCCTCCGCGCGTCCGGCACGGGAGTGTGGGGTGCGAGGCGTTAGAAGGCGGTAGTCAGAGTGCGATGGCCTGCCAGTCACGAAGATGTCGGGGGGAGTGCGGTTTGTAGGCATTCCGCATGAATGGGTGCGCAAGGCGTCCTACGCAGGAGGCGTAGCGGGCGATGGATGGACAGCGTTGCCAGACGTTGTCTGTCATTGAGCCGGAATAGACTTTGGCTGTGAACAGGCTCAGCTCCGAGCGCCACGCCAGATCTCGATCCGCTCACCTCGACCTGCGGATCATTCTATCAACACCTTGCAATCCTCTTCCACCTCCACAACCGTCGCCTGAGTCCCGTTAGCTTTGGATCATGCGCTGCACCGTGTGTGGCGCCCAATCAATCCGCTTGACCACGCGTCGGACCGTGTGTTTTGCGAATTCTCTCTCTCGACTCCGCTTACCGGTGTGTCTGAGCGAGCCTCAAGGCCTTAGCGAAGCTCAGAACTCCGTTTCACGCATAGGAATCTGACATCCCACAGTGTTGGGCCGACCATCACGGGCAGCTCCACGGTCCTCCGCCGCTCGAGGAAAGCTTCAAGGTTGAAGGACACTCGTTCCCACAGTCCCTCCATTGAGCATGATCCTACCAGTACTTTGCACTCGAGCTTGAGAACGACATCGCTATGTAACAACGACGGCAATTAAACCGGAGAAATCGTCACATGCCCAATGTCGCTAATTCTCCGCATCATGGGTCTGTGCTTCTCGGACATTTTATGATTAGAGTGGGGTATTTTCCCACATGCGTCGACGCATTGTGCTGCTTCTCGGAGGTACGGCCCCCTTCACTTTGCGTATGTGCGTAATTTCCTTTGACGCGTTACGCAGGCAATGGCACCCGGATATGCGGATGGGCCAATTCCTATTAGCAACGACTACGAAAGTTCAGGACCCGTTTCCCACCCGGTTACCCTGTGAGAAAGGGCGCCCAGATACATATACCCTCCGCTGGGTCGCGCTCACTCAGCAAAACCACCGGCGCAATGACATTTGAGGACCCACCAGCACTCATCCTGGCCAGCGTGGCGATCTTGGCCGCCATCTACGTCGTGCGATGGAAGACACACCCGGTGAGTACTGTCGCTCGCTCTGAGGTGAGGACCCAACGTTGATTGCTTCTGAACAGCTGAACTCTATTCCTACTGTTGGTGGCTCCTCTGCACCGGGTCTATCTATTTTGGCGGCAATCAACTTTAGGCGCAACGGGAAGGAGTTGATCGAGGAGGGTTACCGGAAGGTGCATTCCTCGTTGCCGAATACCACATGGCTTCCGGTGATTTACTTACGTTCATTGGCAGTACTATGGCTCGGCTTTCAAAGTGGCTTTGATAGACCAGTGGCTTGTTATAGTATCGGGGCCGAAGATGGTAGATGAGCTCAGGAGGCGCCCCGACAACGAGTTGTCCTTCGACGAAGGGGTTGAGGATGTACGCAGTCTGTGCATCTTAGCGATTATAGCTGATAGTCCCGCGTCCTGCAGGTTGTTCAGATGAAGTATTCCATCGGACACGAGACGTTCGAGGACCCCTACCACATCAACATGGTCAAAGAGAAGCTGACCCGAACTCTTCCTGTCATCCTCCCGGACGCAGTTGATGAGCTCAAGCTTACGGTGCCCGAGTGCATTCCCGCTAAGACCGATGGTGAGCAGTCTACCATATTATTTTCACTGCGTTCAATCTCAAAAGACTACAATCGCACAGAATGGACTGCTGTGACGGTCATGCCGGCGATGCAGCAGATTGTCGCCCGCGTCAGCAGTCGGGTCTTCGTTGGTCTTCCAATCTGTACGGTGAGTTTCGCATTCTTTGCCAGATTGTTGGACTCATGCGTGCGTTCATAGGCCGGAACCAGGACTACCTGAGTATGGCTATTCGTTTCGCCATAGATGTCATAAAGGACAGGAAGATCATAACTATCACCCCTTACGGTCTGAAGACGTAAGCTCTACCTGCACAGAACGCACAGACTTTGGCTAAAAGGTGATCTCGACAGAATTGTGAGCAAGCTGTTCAGCAAGACGAAGCGGGTCTTCAAGCAGGCGACGCCAGTCATGGAACCGGTCATTAACGAGCGACGGGAAAACATGAAGGCGTTCGGGGAGGATTGGTCTGATAAACCTGTGCGTCGCCTTGAGAATATCTCAGGATCGACGCTACTTTGATCATTGACCATTATGACAGAATGACCTGCTTCAGTGGATTATCGACGAGGCTGTCCTCAGGAATCAATCCAATGCCAGCATTGTCGAGAGGATCTTCTTGATCAATTTCGCGGCCATCCACACCTCCTCTACTGTACGCTATTCTTTCATCGCGTCGACCTGTCAGTAAATGGCACTCACGTCACGATGTACCCTACCAGACCATGACACACGTACTATACGACCTCGCAGCCAGGCCCGAATACATCCAGCCACTCAGAGAAGAAATCGAGGATGTCCTCGCCACTGACGGTTGGACCAAGGCGGGCATAGGCAAGATGTGGAAGCTCGACAGCTTGTTCAGGGAATCCTCGCGCCTCCACGGCATCAGTCTCAGTGAGTTTGACTCCAATACTGCCATGCTCCTGCCCTCTAATATGACGGTTGTCCTGCTCAGTATCGCTCATGCGGAAGGCGGTGAAGGATCTTACATTCAACGACGGCACGTTCATCCCTAAGGGCACAGTCCTCGTCGCCGCGGCCCACGCCACACATCATGATGAGGTGAACTACGCCGACGCCGACGATTTCGACGCCTTCCGCTTTGCGAGGATGCGCGAGGGCGAAGGCGAGGGTGTCAAGCATCAGTTCGCCAACACGTCTGTCGACTACATTTCTTTTGGTCACGGGAAGCATGCGTGGTATGTCTCCCAGATGTCTCCCGTGCTTGATGTACGAAAACGCGTGAGCTGACAATGTCTGCTGTGCAGCCCAGGACGATTCTTCGCCTCGAACGAGCTCAAGGCAATTATGGCGTACATCGTGCTGAACTATGACTTGAAACTAGGCGGGGACGGGCAGCGGCCGCCGGACACGTACTTCGCCCAGAACATGGCCCCTTCCCGGACCGGCCAGGTGTTGTTTAGGAAGCGCCAGGCTGCATCTTCTTGAGCTCTCTGTCTTGTACATATATCGTTACATTGTAGACCCGGTGCGCTCATGAGCCTCTTGTGCTCAAGAGTCATGTGTCTGGTGCATATGCATTCACTGCATACCTCTGCCTCTGCGCGACGTGGCTCGACTTGTCCGAGTCTTGTTGTAGGACCCTTGATCCTTACTCGTCATGATTATACTTACGGTTGTTTGGCTATGTGTGTCCGCCTCCCTATCTAAATAGTTGATGACTTTCCATTTACAGCGCCTTGCGTAAGTCCGTGAACGCGCGGGATTTTTTCTCTCCGGCGTCTAACCTACCCGACCTGCCTAAACAGGCCACATCATGATCACAGGCCCAGACACGACAGGACCCCCTGTTATTCACTCAGAGGAATGATCCGATTTTCCAAAATCTTGCCATAAATGTCCGAAGGATCAGGCCTTTCCGGGAGCCAAATCTGTCCGGATTCGACCAGGCCTTCCGGATTTGTGCTCAATTTTGGCCGGACTATAGATCAGGCCATCTGGCGGCATGATGTTGTCCGGATTGGGCAGATCAGGCGCCCAGAGGCTGAATTTTCGCTCAGGGAACGTCCATATTGTTTCTTTGAGAGATCTACGGCAATCTGGACAACATAGAATATGCTAGGGGTCATCTTGAAAATGGAGAGGCAAGACATTCTGTCACTCAGCAGGCTGCCCTACCTCTTGCCCTCCAGCGCTTCTTGCGCAATTTCTCAGTTCACCGCCGGAAATGCAGAAACGTCCTTTTGTTGAACCCGGGGGGCGAAGGCCTCTCCCACGGGTGGCAACGACAGCGGATAGCCTGCAACTCACCTAGAAGGGTTGTTGGTTGTAAGAGGCTTGTTAGAGCGATGAGAGGAGATGTTCGAGTGAACTAAAACTGTAGATTGGGGGTACAGAGGTCCCCTATATATACTACTGTACATCTGTGGCTACGTAGTACTATACAGTACATTCCCAGGATGCACAGTCGCACAGAGAAGCAGTGCGTACACAGCGAAGCTGTGTGTGTACCACATGAGTAGTACAG